CGTGCAGGCAGCGCTCCAGGGCGTGCTGGATGCGGTCCTCTGTGCACGTCGTAGCCCCTGGCTGCATCCTGAGTCATCGCCTGCGTGGAAACAGACAGTCAGCCCCGGACCCCCAGGTGTGAGGAGCGCACAGCCAGCAGGGCAGGTGGCACAGACGGCGGCACCCCCAGCCCAGTGCTGCCAGCCTTGCTATTGCCTGGGTGCTGTGGGCACAGCAGGCAGGGGCTCAGCTGCCTCCAGGGCTGGAATGGCTCCCGGGGGGCGCTGCTCTGAGTGGCAGGAAGGAGTGCTCCTGCAGCCAAGGGTGCGATGCTACAGGAAGTGAGGGGTCAGGGACAGGAGTGGAGAGGTGACTACCCCAAGGCGGTCGTGTTTCCAAGCGCCTGGGGAATGCCCAGGGAGTGGCCAGACCCCAGTAGGCTGGGCAGCAGGACCTCCAGGAACAAGCAGAATGGCTTGGGGATTTTTCTGAATTTCCAGGCCTGCATCCCCCAGCCCCAGGGAAGAGCACAGAGATCCCGCTCAGGGCACCGGGGGCTCCAACGCCGAGGCCTGGTGGGGGCTGCTCCACGTGCTCCCCACCACACTGCCTGCTAGGGTGCCTGGGAGGAGACAGGCACCATTCCTCGTCTGCCCTCGCCTCTACTTTGGCCATGTTTTTCTGCTCTCTCTGAAGCATTGCAGTGCTGCCAGCTACCCACAGACTCCGCTTGCCCCCCGCCCCTTGTCCAGCTCAGGCTGGAGGGCCATGAAGAAGAGATCTAAGAGGGGGTCTCAGCACCTGCTGGGAAACTGTGGGAAGGGCCGCATTCTAAGAGCCTCCAGAAGGGCTAGCCCGCCTCTCAGTGATGTGTGAGGCCCCCAGGTCCCTTGGGAGCCACAACAGGTAGGTGATCGGGTGAATAAGCCTGGCCCCTGGGTCAACAGACTTGGATTCAGATCTGGACTCTGCTATTGGTTAGCCATGCAATTCTGGACACACTTTCCCCCTTTTCCAAACCTCAGTTTACTTATCTGTAAAATGGGATCATGAGAGCACTGACCCCACAGGGCTGTTGGGAAGATTAAACGTCACAGTGACACGAAAGCTATGGTGCCCCAGTCTT